TCCAGTGTTCAGAACGGATACAGTGTTCTTCTGTCTGTTTGATGATCAGCACAGTATGCTGCTAAAATGGTGTGCCTTAGTAAATTAAATCACATCTTCAGTTTTGTGACTTTTTTTTCCCCGATTGAGTCCACTTATATTGTCAACATTTCATGCTTTTATTTCTGTTATAATTTTTTGTTTCTTATGACCATTAATGAGGCTCTTTAATGCTGAGCATGTCTCCCTCACTTTGTTCGGCTTCATCAAATGCATAAAAATGCAGTAATTTTAGTTTTTCGTAGGAGTCGCCTGACCGAACGTGATCCTTTGTTTACTCAGCTTTTCTCCTAAACAGCCTTACGTGAGGAGACAGCAGCTCAAGAAAGATTACAAATGTTTTTATGCGCTCTGTCACAGACACTTGTGTTTAGGATATAATATCTGATTAAGTCTCGTCTTTAGATTGGCATGTAATGCATCTCAAATCCAGATTCAATGAGTATCCAGAGTTGATTAAAATTCACACGAGCGCCTGGAAAGGATTTGATCCTGTAGCACAAGTAGCTCATTACCTCCCACTCCCGCATCCCACAAGCCAGCAGATTCCCCTGCACAAGCAAGAAATAACATTCCAGTCACTTCGCCAAATACTGTCCAGTGTTCAGAACGGATACAGTGTTCTTCTGTCTGTTTGATGATCAGCACAGTATGCTGCTAAAATGGTGTGCCTTAGTAAATTAAATCACATCTTCAGTTTTGTGACTCTTTTTTTTCCCCGATTGAGTCCACTTATATTGTCAACATTTCATGCTTAAAACTGTTGTAATTTTTTGTTTCTTATGACCATTATTCCACCCTTGCTCTCCCCCTTTTAATTAGGCCTAAATAGCCTTTTTTTAAAAAGGCTATTTTTATTTATCAAGGATCCTTTAAATTGATCGAAATTGACAGCAAAAACTTTCTATTTCAAATAAATGCTGTTCTTTTGAACTTTGTATTCATCAAAGAATCCTGGAAAAAAAATGTTTACAAAAATTGGAAGTTTTCAACTGTTTTCAACATTGATAAGAAATTTTTCTTGAGCAGCAAATCATTATCTTAGAATGATTTCTGAAGGATCATGTGACACTGAAGACTGGAGTAATGATGCTGAAAATTCAGCTTTGATCACAGAAATAAATTACACACAGAAAACTGTCTTAATTTTAATATTTCACAATTTTACTGTTTTTACTGTAGAGACTTCTTTCAAAAACATTATAAATCTTACTGACCCCAAATGTTTGAGTAGTATTTTACATATTTTCTTAGAGGGACAGTTCTCCACAAAATGAAAATTGTAATAATTTAATATTGTCTAAAGTTAATAATGTTATTCCAGTTTATCTTTTTTTTTTTTTTTTACTACTATTGTTTTATTTATATATTTAAACCTTTCTTATTTTTTCTGTGAGCTATGTCAATTAAATTGCCTTGCTTTTCCCATTCGGGTTCAGCTAGATTAAAGCTTTAGTATTCTGTGTTTCTGTAAATAATCATTTTGGTGCATCACTAGTCAAACATATCTGAAAAGTGCTAATTGTTTTGGTTAGTGATTTGAACAAAAACTTCCTCCCCTTTTTCTTTTTGGCTTTTTCAGGCCAGATATTTTCAGTTGCTAAAATCGGTGCATCTCTTACTGTCTCTGCTACATACAACTTTATACATACCACATCCATGGATCATCACTATTTCAGAAGATCAAGACAAATCAGGCAGTGTCCATTTAACAGATTGTGTTTGTCTCTCTAAGGCTCTGGAGCGCTCTGAGAGTGAGGAGGTTTCAGTGATCACCCAGCTGGTGAAGAAGATCCTCATCATCATATCACGCCCGGCACGACTGCTGGAGTGTCTGGTGAGATTCTGCAGCTGCACTGATTCACATTCCCAAAACTCTGCTCCTGATTTTCACTTCCATCTCTCTGTGTAGGAGTTTGACCCTGAGGAGTTTTACCATCTACTAGAGGCTGCAGAAGGTCACGCCAAAGTCGGCCAGGGCATCAAAACGGATATTCCCCGCTATATAATCAACCAACTTGGACTTAACCGTGATCCCCTTGATGGTGCGATTATCTGTTATTTACCTTGTGGTGATTTTGTTTTGAAAGCCTGTGAGTTTCTCCGAGGCTCATGTTGTTGTGTCCTTCATCTCTTTTGACAGAAGTTGTGCAGCTCGAGGAGCAGTATGACTCTGGCCCCACACTGACAGTCGATTCTGAAGAATCCGCAGAGGTAAATGCACCACAAAAAGAGCTGAAGCATTAAAAAGCTTCGCTAGGTTTCGTAAGACGTCACTAATGATACGTCTCTTCCTGTTGCTTACAGCAAAATAAATCTTTACCCACACCACTACGAAGAAAACCCCTGGAGAGTGATTTTGAGACTATAAAACTCATCAGTAATGGGGCTTATGGGTAAGCAAATCGCATGACTACAGGTAAAAAAGTGATTACTTTAGAAAGGCATCTTTTTAGCTGGCAAAGCGTGATTTGAAGGAGGACCCAGATTTAATTGTTATTCTAGCTTACTACATCTTCTGATTCTTTACAAAAGAGGCTCCAAAAATGAGGGAGATTTTATTGCAACTAGAAGATGGTTTGTTATTACCATCAGAGTCAGATTGTTTTTCTGGTGTTGCTTGCTGCCAACAGGACCTACTTAAAATGAGGCAAATTAGCTAAAAGAAATTAGCACAATTACCTACAATTATTTTTATATACTCACCAGAACTTATAGCAGGTGAAATATGAATAGAAATGTTTTCATAAATATAGGAGTTGTGAAAAAGTGGAGACATCTGTGAAACTTTATAAAATACATGTAGACAGTAGTAACGTTTCTTTAAAATATACATTTTTTATGTTCAATATATATTTTAATCTTAAGTAGAAATAATATATAAATGAAAATATATTAAAATAAAGTATTGAGTTATGGTCTGAAGGCAGATGAGTTTAGGACCATAACTGAAAATGTAATGTCATCATTTTGATAAAATAAAGAGAAAGTGAAAATAAAATAGTGTATTTGTGATTATCTGATGATTTTCAAAGTGGAAATGTTGATCATTTAAAGGGATAGTTCACCCAAAAATGAAAATTGTCATCATTTACTCTGTATTCTTTTTTCTGCTGAACACAAAAGAAGATATTTTGAAGAATGTGGGTAACCAAACAGTTTTTGGTCCCCATTGACTACCATTGTATGGAAAAAAAATACTATGGAAGTCAATTGGGACTAGGCATGGGCCGGTATGAGATTTTGACGGTATGATAAACTTAAGCAAAAATATCAGGGTTTCACGGTATCACAGTATTGTCGTTACAGATCTAAAATGTGTTCTTTTTAAATGACTGGGTTAAAAAAAAATAATAATTTTCCGCTGAACGCAATATATTTTGTTTTTGAGCAGCATGCAGAATATTAGGAACAGTAGAATTTGTTTATTTTTTCTTTGATTTGTTTCCTAAAAAGAAGAAAAATAAAGACATCATTATTTAACCTAAATCTGTAAATACAGTTATTTAATTTTAGTTACATAATTCGTATACATATCATTTATATAATTTCATATAATTTAGTTATATAATTTCATATACATAATTTGATTTAATAATAACCCAATTTGAAGCAAAAACAATGTTCTGTTCTGACTAGCTTTGTGAAATTATCAGGGATGCAATCTTGTCACCTTTCGGTGAAATTTGCCGTTTTTAATTCAAAATGGGTCATTTGTGTGATTCGTGTAGATCCGCATTTTTAAAAATTGTTTTAAAATTGTACCAACTCAATTCTGTACCCGCTCGAAGTCACCCGCTTTCAAACGCTCCTGTGTGTTTTTGTGCGCGCGCCCTGGTTTCAAATAACAAAACCAAAAGTTTCTATTTACAACGTGTTTAGCAAGCTTTAAGTATTGTAGTCAATCACAGGCGTCTCTGTTGAAAGCACTGGCCAATCAGAGGTGTTTATTGTAGGTTAGTCAGAATCCGCTCACACATCTTCCTATTATAACAAGGTAAAAAGAAAGCATACATGATGTAAATAAGATATTCATTGTGTAGTTAGTTATTGATTATATCAGGAGTTTTCGCGCGAGTAAGCTCGGACAGTTGCGCCATAATGGAAGCACCCTTTACTCGGTGTCTCTTACATACTACATTCACAGTTTGAAGAAAAGTTTAAGAGGACCGTCCACGTATACTGTTTCAGGAACGACAAACACGAGTGAATCCGCCAGATTTATCCGCAATTGACGGTGATAACCGTAGCAATGGACGGAACGAACCATCTGACAAGCCGATGTCAAAACAGAGCTGTGCTTTAAGGGATGCAGAGTAAATTCAGAGTAACAAAACTACAGCAGCAACAAGTCTGTGTTGCCTTTAGCAGCTTCTACAGGTAAAGATAACTTAAAGCTCTCCTTTTTAGGCAATGTTTGAAAAATTTTATTTTTAAATAAAAAATAAAAAAAGCCAAAATATTTCAATTTGAAATATTCAACTTTCAACTTAATTTGTAGTTAACTAGTTAAGTATTTAAATAATTTACCATACTAGGCTGTTGGTGTCTAGGCTTATTTATTTATTTATTTTTAAATGACTTGACTTGTGCAAGTTCAGAACAGAGATGAGTTGCAATAAGACAAAAAAACGTCCGGTTGCCGATCGCGTAAGTTCCAGGGAAGCTTCTTAAGTTTGTCCATCCTACACACACGTGACTGACCGCTCGCTCGCAACAACAGGAGGAGGAGGGTCGTGTTACTCTCTACACTGCACTCAACCTGAGAGATTCCTACACTTTCAGTCTTTCAGGAGACATGAAAAACAGCGCATACCGCAGGAACGGTATAACGGAAAATATTAGCGGTTTTGAAACCGTGAAATATTCAAATCGTGGTATACCTTGAAACCGGTAATCGGCCCATGCCTAATTGGGACCAGAAGTAATTTGGTCACCAACATTCCTCAAAATATCTTCTGGAAAAACTTGAGGGTGAGTAAATGATGACAGAATTTTCAACAATCCCAACTTATTTGGTAACCACTAAAATTGTGCAACATGTTTTACTCAAGAATCATGCTCAATGTCTTCAAGGTCAGGAAGCTCCTAGAACGTTACCCAAGCATCCTACTGCTATGTTCTCCATCTGTCCCGCAGGGCTGTGTATCTGGTAAGGCATAAAGAAACTCGACAACGTTTTGCTATGAAAAAAATCAACCGGCAAAACCTGATTCTGCGGAACCAGATCCAGCAGGTGTTTGTGGAGCGAGACATCCTGACGTTTGCAGAGAATCCCTTTGTGGTCAGCATGTTCTGCTCCTTCGAGACCCGCAGACACCTGTGCATGGTCATGGAGTACGTGGAAGGTAAGGCACTGAACATTTCAACTCAGCAAAACTCAGACGAAACTTGTTAACCTGTATCTTTTAAGTGCATAGTCAAAGCTTACGAAGAGAAACTTTTACAATGGGTGGAGAAGTACATGAAGACAATTTTTAGTTTTATTCGCTGACGAATGCCGTGCTACTCTGGATGGATTTCTAGATGGTTGGTGAATGGCCACCGTGCTTGGCAATAGAATCGCATTGGCTAGTCATTTTTTTTGTTTACTTGCCAGACTTGTCATTTTAACAGAATGTTGGTGGTGCTTGTTGGTCATTCAGTTTTTCTGTAAATAAAAAAAACGAACAATAATACTAACGTGATGATACTACTACTAATAACAATATAAAATGCGCCTGGTGAGCTGCTGGGTTCATGAATATTAATCACGTTCTCTGCATTCGTTGGAACTGATTTGCTGAAATCAAAACAGGGTCAGTAATAGGTGAGCGCCAGCCGCTGCGTATATTAGTTCCACCCACCGCTGAAGAAACAGGCTTGTTTTTAAAGGCTGAATAATTCATTTGTCTGCAAATCCTTTATCAATAGGAATATAGTATGCTTTAAAGATGGAGAGCGAAACTCTCAAGTGATTAGTCAGCGTATTAAAGACGAGTGAAAATATATCTGTGCTAAACTTATACTTAGCCTTCAACAGACACTGGTGAGTAAAATCTAACACTTTATTAACTAATGGCTAATAATAGACATTTAGTTGCCCAGCATGAAAATGTAGTGTCACATGCGAGTGATTTACTTGCATTGTAGAGGGTTGACCTGGCAAACTATTTAACAAACCTGCCTGGGATTGATACCAGTTATCTAAAAAGATAAGAGAAATAAAACAAACAAACACTTTCTATGAAAACAAATAATAATTTTACTAAAATATGTCACTTGATTTGTCTGATGTCACATGCATAATAATTTGGAACACTGTGTGTATCAGTATATATATATATATATATATATATATATATATGTATAATAGAAAATATTTGTAGTTATAATGTATTATTATTAGAAATATAATTTCTCATAGTTTATATTGAATTTATAAATTATTATTAAAACATGTATAATGTAAATGTATGTAACATTTGCATGTATAAATATGTCTGGGCTAATATGATTTCCAGGTGGTGACTGTGCCACTCTGCTAAAGAACATGGGTCCACTTCCTGTGGATATGACCAGGATGTATTTTGCGGAGACGGTTCTGGCGCTGGAGTACCTGCACAGTTATGGCGTTGTGCACAGAGATCTCAAACCAGACAAGTGGGAAAAGAACTGCAAACCTCATTTATGCAACCGTATGTCAGTGTAACTGTTGTTAACCTGATCTGTTAACCCTTCACAGCCTCTTGATTACTTCAATGGGACATATTAAACTGACTGACTTCGGGCTCTCCAAAATCGGCCTCATGAACATGACAACCAATCTGTACGAGGGCCATATTGAGAAAGACACTAGGGAGTTTATCGATAAACAGGTGGGCAAGAGCACAATACTCCTTGGGTACAATTTATGCTAATTTTCAAGAAATGATATTGATATTAATATAGAATCTATCCGTGTTTCGTGTTTTATTTGTTGTATTCACAGGTTTGTGGCACCCCGGAGTACATCGCTCCAGAAGTGATCTTGCGGCAGGGCTACGGGAAGCCTGTCGACTGGTGGGCCATGGGTATCATCCTGTACGAGTTTTTGGTGGGATGTGTGCCGTTCTTCGGAGACACAACGGAAGAGCTTTTTGGGCAGGTTGTCAGTGGTGAGTTTAGATGAATGTGTTTTAAACTCTCCTGTCAGCTGTTAGGACACGGATACCTTTAAAAGGATCAGGAAGCTTTACCAACTGGCTTAAAATGAAACTGCTGTAAAAAGATTTTGATAACACTGTGTTCCTTATGCAGATGAGATTATCTGGCCAGATGGAGATGATGCCCTTCCTGTAGACGCCCAGGACTTGATCACACGATTACTGAACCAAAACCCACAGGAGAGGCTTGGAAGAGGTGCTTTGTCATTCATTTGTAGTCAATAGGAATTTAGTATAAACCTTTGTAGTATAGTTATGTTACCCGAGTATAGTTAATTTTTTTTAAAGGGTCAAATGATGAGAAATCAATGATATTTTTTTCGTCGTCTTATTCAAACAAAATGATTTGAAACAACTGAAACTGATTCAACAAATTTATTTAGCTGTTTTTAAATATGAATTTTTATAAATTATGTATAATTTTTGAATTTTCATATAATTATATTTGTAAATGTATATAATTTATATAATTTAATTATTGAATATTTAAGCATTATTAAAAAAAATTATAAACTCTGTGTGTGTGTGTATATATATATGTATATATGTATATGTATATATGTATATGTAATTTATTTATTTTATTTTTTTTTCATAAATATTTATTTTTAAATTTTTATAAAATTACTTTAATTGCAGAATTACATTTTAATAAAAACTTTATTAAAATGTAAAGTATTATTTTTTTAAAATGTAATCTATTTTATTTTGAGTTTTTATAACTACATTATTTTATTTTTTTTAGAAATGATATAGCATTCCTATTTTTTAATTAGAAATATTTTTATTTTGTGAATAATTTTATATAATTCGTGAAGACACATTTTTGTTCCTCTGAATTGAAATGAGACGTTTTTTGCTTCTGCAAAGGGCCAGAAATGGCCAAAAAAGGTCATGAAAAATGTAATTAAGATTGTATGAAACACTAATATCCCCTCAAGTGAAAAGAAATGACAAAATATATATGACATGACCCATTTAAGTTCAAAATAAATGTTTAGGATTAGATCTACTTCAAACATTATTCATACAACAGCTTTGTGTAGAGCTGTGGACAGTTGTGATGAATTCACATGTTTGTAGGTGGGGCTTCAGAAGTAAAGCAGCATATGTTCTTCAGCGGTCTAGACTGGAACGGACTCCTGCGTCAGAAAGCTGAATTCATCCCTCAGCTGGAGGCCGAAGACGACACTAGTTATTTTGACAGTGAGTCTCACTAATTCAGCACAGGGAGGAGATTCTGAGAGCTTCATAAATGCCTGGAGCGAAGCGCTCTGGAAATGTCAGCTTATTCTTGCGGCTTATGCACTGAGATGCAGTTATTATGTCTTCATTGTACTTACCTATTACCCCCTAAATCCTTTTTGTTCTTTTTCTGCATAGCTCGATCTGAACGCTACCATCATTTGGCTTCTGATGAGGATGATGAAACCAATGATGAAGAGTCTTCCCTTGAAATACGACGGTTTTCCTCTTGGTCAAATCGTTTCAGCAAGGTTGGGTCCTTTTGCTGTCGCACACATAATATTGAAAAAAAATTGTTTTTTTAAAACAGCCATCATCGCACTTTATATATTGTCATTATTACGTATAACAATCACAACTTTCTGACTTTATTTTTCAATTACCCATTTTATTTTCTGTTCTGAGATTGAAACAGGCTTTCATTGACCTCAAATTTAAGGCCATATTTATTTAAATATGAAGATAACTATTAGCATCCATACCAACGCACAAAAACATTGTTTATTATAAGTGTGTGCTGCAGTATTAAATGCATTCCACACACACAAAAAATATATAAATTCTACGTAAGGAATTTACCTAGTAAATAATCATGGATGACACATACGCCTGTGAATAGAGTATTTCTATAATCACGTCAGTGGCATCTGTAATTAAACTTATGCTTTTAAATAGGTTTTTAAAAAACCAAGACCACTGTTGTATCGACCAGCTAAACATAAAGAGAAAAAAGCGTAACAACATAAGCGTCAGTGCCAGTGTTATTTGAATATTCAAAATATTTTTTAAAAACTCTTAATAGTGTCTCAATAAGTTTATATATTTTCCATTTAAATTTTAGTTAGTAATTTTGTGTTTTTGTTATTTTAAGTTGTGTTTAACCTTTTAGCTGACATAAACGTGAACTGAAATAAAATATAAAAAACGTTTTATTTCAAGTAACGAAAATGTATATATATTTTTTATTTTAGTTAACTATAATAACCCTGGTCAGTGTCAGGTTTTTTCTGTAGGGTGGCCATTTTTCCTCTCTGACATTTATTATCCATAATTTTGTAGGTGTATAGCAGCACAGAGCACCTGGCCACCCCATCCAACCTGAGTTTCTCCTCCGACCGCAGTCACAGTGAAGAGATAGAGGACCGGGCAGACGGGAGGGACACTCACTCATATGGAGAGATCCAGCGGCAGGCCTCCACTGGAGACAAGAGGCTCTCGGCTCATAGGGCAAGGTGCAAACAGAGGAATAAAGAAATCAATTCACCCAAAAACACACTTACAAAAACACATTATAAATGAATGGGACATATAGAAAATTTGAAAAAGTGTATTTACACTGTGTGCTGTGTATGTTACAGTCAGTGTTCATTTAATATCACTGATACTATTGTAGTTTTATTATTATTTTGAATATTTTTTTATTTTTTCGGTTTTTATTTTAATTGAAAAGTTTTGGGTTTTGTCATTTTTATTATAACAATAAATGTTAGAATATTTACTTTCCATATGAATAATGACTAAACATTGCTTTACAGATATCTAGGACGGGTATTGCTTAGTCAAAATTGAATATTTTAGTTATCTGTAAGGCAATAATGACTAGTAATAATTTAACGGCAGGTATCTAAAATGTACTTTGTCTAAAAATGCCAACGTTTTATTTTTTACTAACCGTAATTCTGTTCACAATATCTGCAAATCAATTTGGACTAGTAAAATGCAATAATTCTTACTTTAAAAAATGTAATTGACTAGTCAGAATAAAATTGCAGATACCTTAGTTGGTCAAATTGCATTTTTACTAGTAAAAATTACATAATTTTACTTGTTTTATTACTTGTATATTAATATTTGTTTACTTATTAATATTTATTTCATTTTAATTTGTTATTTTAGTACATCACGTTAAACTAAATGAAAATGATAAATGTTTCCTTGACAAGAAGCAAAAAAAACTAAAAAACTAAATATAACTAAACTAAAATAACTTCAAGGTATTTATATATATATATGTAGTGATAGAGGCTCAATTACAGTCGATGTTATTTTCCAGCACTCTGGATGTGTGTTTGTTTCTTCCAGTCTGCGCCCTCGCACTTCTTCCAGCTCCTCTCAGCCTGAGCGAGCTGTGAGCCCCCTAGTGGTGAGCAGCACACACAGCCTGGAGGCCATGCCTCGATTCGCCCTCTCCACAGACGATGAGGGTAAGCTGACTCCTGAAATCTGACACATTTTTAGAGGGGGTTTTTTTTTCTCATCAATTTATTGTCCTTCACAAATTTTCAAAATGAACATTTTGTCACACCTGCCAATGGAGGGTAAATTGAGAACAGCCATTAAACTATATATATATTTTTTTTTTTAAACACATTTGTCAGTATGGAATTAATTGAGTTGTTTTTAATTATTTTATTATTAGACTCTAAAGGTGTCTCCTAGCAATGTTCAAATTAAAGTTCACCTTGCAATGTTCAAATTAAAGTTCACCTAAATATAATAACATTGTGCTACTAAGCTGGAGTCGCACTTCTTCCAGCTCCTCTCAGCCTGAGCGAGCTGTGAGCCCCCTAGTGGTGAGCAGCACACACAGCCTGGAGGCCATGCCTCGATTCGCCCTCTCCACAGACGATGAGGGTAAGCTGACTCCTGAAATCTGACACATTTTTAGAGGGGGTTTTTTTTTCTCATCAATTTATTGTCCTTCACAAATTTTCAAAATGAACATTTTGTCACACCTGCCAATGGAGGGTAAATTGAGAACAGCCATTAAACTATATATATATATTTTTTTTTAAACACATTTGTCAGTATGGAATTAATTGAGTTGTTTTTAATTATTTTATTATTAGACTCTAAAGGTGTCTCCTAGCAATGTTCAAATTAAAGTTCACCTAAATATAATAACATTGTGCTACTAAGCTGGAGTAGTGCTTTGATGCAAACCTTTTAATTCTGCAGCTGAAGTTGTCGTATCCAACCTGCGACGAATCCGACTACGTAGCAACAGTACAGGAACGAAACACTCGTCACCAAGGGAACAAGGGAGTCCTCAGTGCTTTGGAAACCAGCTGGAGACGCCTGACAGGCAGCGACTCTCACCAGGACGCAAAGTCCCCAAGTCTGCATCAGTGTCCACCCTCTCGCTCATCATCACGCCAGGTCAGACCCCAAACGTAGTCACCACTGCAACACTGTAAATATGAGGAGCACCATTTTGTAGAGTGATCATGGTTTGGTAGATTACTTGCAAATTGTAGTCTGTTACTGATTACAAATTACATGCTGAAAGTTGTAGTTAATAATGTAATCTATTAGATTACTCATTTTAGGTAAGGTAATCTGGATGCTTTCTGATTACTTTTGTCCTAACTCATAACATGAGATTAATGTGCACCATAATGCTATAAAAATATTTAAAAAAAGAAAAGAAAATATATTCTATTCTTCATTTTAGGTAAGGTAATCTGGATGCTTTCTGATTACTTTTGTCCTAACTCATAACATGAGATTAATGTGCACCATAATGCTATAAATATATATTCTATTCTTTATCAACAAAATTAAGTGCATTAAACATTACATTATGCCAGGGTTTCCCAAACGGGTTAATGAAGGAACTGCAGGGGGTTTGTGAGTTGATGTAGTAGAGATGCTACTTTTCCATTTTTTTTGATGTCAGGGAAAAAATGGCAATTTATAAACAGTGGGATATATATATACATATACATATATATATATATATATATATATATATATATATATATATATATATATGCTCAAATACATATACATATATACATATATACATATATATATATATATATATATATATATATATATATATATATATATATATATATATATATATATATATAGAGAGAGAGAGAGAGAGAGAAGTTCATTGGATATGAAGACATTGTGTTTCACAGCTAAATATCGGCAGTGTTTAGTAACTTGTTCAATATTGATCTCTTATGTGGTGCTTTTGTGCCCAAATTTAGAAGCATGGATCACACATTTATTTACATGACATTTACATGGCAGTTCTGTACAGTGAATATAGTCAAAGCTAAATGGTATGACACACAGTAGGATTTTTTTTAAAGGAAAATTTAAAAGAATTAGTGAGAATCAATACATTATGAATAACTTGCTGCCATTGTGTGAATACATGATGTAATCATGTAATTAATAAAAAATGAACTGTAATCTGATTTGTGAACATTTTAAAACGTAATCTTATCACAAGTACTTAAAGTCCCCCTGCAGTCACAAATTTTAGCTCTTAAAACTCAAAATGACATTTAAATGTTTTTTTCCCATGAAAATAATTCTTAAAATGGCTTGAATGTATCTCTACACCTTTACCTCATTTAGTATATACGTGGATCTATGAATATGCAAATTAGCCCCGCCTCCGCATAATCACACCAGTTCGGAGCTGCTCCACTTTCATTCGGTTAAAGGATTAGTTCTTCCAGAATAAAAAATTCCTGATAATTTACTCACCCCCATGTCATCCGAGATGTTCATGTCTTTCAGTCTTCACTCGAAAATAAATTAAGGTTTTTGAGGAAAACATGCCAGGATTTTTCTCCATATAATGGACTTCAATGGGGACCAACGGGCTGAAGGTCCAAATTGCAGTTTCAGTGCAGCTTCAAAGGGCTCTACACAATCCCAGCCGAGGAACGAGGGTCTTATCCAGTGAAATGATCAGTCATTTAAAAAAAAAATACACTATATACTTTTTAACCAAATTCTCATCTTGCACTAGCTCGACTTCACGCATTATGTAATCATTGTGGAAAGGTCACGTGCCGTTAGCTCTTTATCCGTGTACTCTGGTTCAGAAATGTAGGGTAAGGTGAATGTGACGAGAGGGGCGGGGCCGAGAGCCGTGGGGACGGAGCGAGTCCGGGGGGGGAAATGCTAATGCACGGAGGAGCTCCGGAAGGGTAAAAGGAGGAGCAACAACAGTGTTGGACGAGAGAGGACCAAGCCTGGACTTTATTTTGTATGTGACGAGTAGGGGTCGACCGATATGTGTTTTTCAAGGCCGATACAGATTATTACAGATCAAGTAGACCGATAACCGATATTTTGATCCGATATATATGTCTGGTGTAAAAATTTTAATTAATGTCAAAATTAAGAATAACAAGGGCTCTGACAAAAACTGCCTTCCCTGGTGTTGGTTGAGTGTAGTACTCCCACAGTAAACTCTTTATTTTTGGCAAACAAAGGGTTTACTATTAACATGAAAACATGGAAGAAATAGCGTATTGTGTGATTATTCTTTTAAACAAAAGTTGTGATAATTGTTGTAGTAGTCAGGGGTTAAAGCAAAAAAAAAAAAAATTTTGACTGAAAATATATATATATATATATATATATATATATATATATATATATATATATATATATATATAGAGAGAGAGAGAGAGAGAGAAGTTCATTGGATATGAAGACATTGTGTTTCACAGCTAAATATCGGCAGTGTTTAGTAACTTGTTCAATATTGATCTCTTATGTGGTGCTTTTGTGCCCAAATTTAGAAGCATGGATCACACATTTATTTACATGACATTTACATGGCAGTTCTGTACAGTGAATATAGTCAAAGCTAAATGGTATGACACACAGTAGGATTTTTTTTAAAGGAAAATTTAAAAGAATTAGTGAGAATCAATACATTATGAATAACTTGCTGCCATTGTGTGAATACATGATGTAATCATGTAATTAATAAAAAATGAACTGTAATCTGATTTGTGAACATTTTAAAACGTAATCTTATCACAAGTACTTAAAGTCCCCCTGCAGTCACAAATTTTAGCTCTTAAAACTCAAAATGACATTTAAATGTTTTTTTCCCATGAAAATAATTCTTAAAATGGCTTGAATGTATCTCTACACCTTTACCTCATTTAGTATATACGTGGATCTATGAATATGCAAATTAGCCCCGCCTCCGCATAATCACACCAGTTCGGAGCTGCTCCACTTTCATTCGGTTAAAGGATTAGTTCTTCCAGAATAAAAAATTCCTGATAATTTACTCACCCCCATGTCATCCGAGATGTTCATGTCTTTCAGTCTTCACTCGAAAATAAATTAAGGTTTTTGAGGAAAACATGCCAGGATTTTTCTCCATATAATGGACTTCAATGGGGACCAACGGGCTGAAGGTCCAAATTGCAGTTTCAGTGCAGCTTCAAAGGGCTCTACACAATCCCAGCCGAGGAACGAGGGTCTTATCCAGTGAAATGATCAGTCATTTAAAAAAAAAATACACTATATACTTTTTAACCAAATTCTCATCTTGCACTAGCTCGACTTCACGCATTATGTAATCATTGTGGAAAGGTCACGTGCCGTTAGCTCTTTATCCGTGTACTCTGGTTCAGAAATGTAGGGTAAGGTGAATGTGACGAGAGGGGCGGGGCCGAGAGCCGTGGGAACGGAGCGAGTCCGGTGGAGTAAATGCTAATGCACGGAGGAGCTCCGGAAGGATAAAAGGAGGAGCAACAACAGTGTTGGACGAGAGAGGACCAAGCCTGGACTTTATTTTGTATGTGACGAGTAGGGGTCGACCGATATGTGTTTTTCAAGGCCGATACAGATTATTACAGATCAAGTAGACCGATAACCGATATTTTGATCCGATATATATGTCTGGTGTAAAAATTTTAATTAATGTCAAAATTAAGAATAACAAGGGCTCTGACAAAAACTGCCTTCCCTGGTGTTGGTTGAGTGTAGTACTCCCACAGTAAACTCTTTATTTTTGGCAAACAAAGGGTTTACTATTAACATGAAAACATGGAAGAAATAGCGTATTGTGTGATTATTCTTTTAAACAAAAGTTGTGATAATTGTTGTAGTAGTCAGGGGTTAAAGCAAAAAAAAAAAAAACTTTTGACTGAAAATTTTTCCTCGGCCAAACCCCAATTCCACAGCCATACCTGTCACACACCCAGTTTTAGAGCAGTGTTTTTCTTCTTGTAATCAGGAGCACTTGTCCTCCTAATTAAAAAAATTAAGAAGCACCTTCTGATCAATAATCTAAAATTCTGATCAAAAATTTGCCTTCCTAATACGAGGTGGCATGTGACTCCTTAAAGTGACTTACAGGGGTATTTTCTTTGTACCTTTGTAATGGCATCCTTTTCATCTGTCAAATTCAACATTTGTTTAAGCTTTTTAAAATTTCTATTAAACCAAAATAATAAGTAGAATAAGACAAATAAGTTACCACTCATATGAAATTAGTATTAATAAAAAATTAATTTGTACTACAGAGGGTGCACAGAAGAACACAAAAGTGGCTTGTAGGTAGGTTTTCAGACGTTTAATGAGGGTCAGAGGCAATTAAATTCATGTGGAGATTAATGTTTTAAATATAATACAGAAATATTAAATGATTTAAATAACTGAAATTATTCCTAAAAATGAAACTGAAACCACCAGCAGGTGGCGGCAAGTCACTGATTTTATCACTGAATCATTCATTCAACTGATTCGTTTGAACGGCTGATTCATTCGGGAATGGGTTATGAATGGGTAATCATGAATCACTGACTCACTAGATTCGTTAAAAAATGCACTTTCATTCATGAATGAAACACCGCTGTATTTGCTTTTAGAGATGCGCAGTGGCTGAGCTGTTACAATATTTGGAACTATTTTCGTTGATGAAACCGAGCAAAATCAGGCAGTAGCCTACTTGTTTATTGAACTGTTGTATTAAATCAATATCACATTTGCAAACTCCTTTAATAATTATTAAAAGCTGTTACTCTCCTTATCGCGATCTGTGGGCGCACAGAAAATGAGAGCACGCGAGTGAGTTCTCAAGACTCAAAAGCATGTGCAAAATTATACATTCCGTCATCGAGTTAAAAACGAGGAACCTGCGGGAATGAGTATAATTATTATTAATAGCCACAATCTCGCGCTGAAATTCAAGTTCTGCTCTGTGGTCTCTGCTAATAACCCGACTGTGAATGATGCGTTGTTGTCAGTGAGAAGCTGCAGCCGTAGCGGGGAGGATTTTTGGTGTGCTGGTGTTCTGACTAATAATGCTACCTATCAGATTATGCTACCAACAAATCGTCAGAACACCGGCAGAACAACAACAATGCGCTACGTTTTTTTCCCCCTCATTTTTTTTTTTTCAATTGACGGAAAACTTTAATCCAGGAGTAGTATTATGTACATCATACTGCACCACAGTAATATATTTCTGATAATTTCTTTGTTAACCCGATTTTATATTGTGACGGGTTGCCATGAGGAACTTATTTCTGTAGGTCTATGTAAATGATATGAAGATAGTTTTACACCAATGAAACTGTCAAATGCTCATGAAGTGACTCTCAAGAGGGATCAGAGCAGTTCTGGAGATGTTGTTCATGTATTTATGTCCTCGTGTAGTGATACGACAGAAGCTGAAATCAGCACGAGCGTCGCACACTTTGTATGTGTAGAAAACAACACCGTGCGTCTGTGCCATTTACATAAAGACACGCAGAACATGCTGGATCCATATTTAAATAGTATTTTTGCGGCTGAATATTTACAGATACTAGTCCATATTGCGACTCTATTTAAGTGTACTGACCTACTTTTGATTAATTCATACAAACTTTGACAAATTCCGTGACATTCTGCGTCATACAGTAAATTCCATTTATATGACTGGATTCCGTGATTCCGTCCATGTTTTCTGCATTGCGGAAATAATTGTATTGAGGTGTTTTGCAACTTCAGTGTAACGTTAGTGGATTGTGATTTATTGCAAATTAAGCAACGTCTGCTGCTGCCTTACCTTTGAGAGACAACTGATGCGTGATCACTGAAGCAGCTGCAGTTAGCAAGCGCTTTCGGAGTGAGAGTGAATTCCGTATTGATTGGTCGGACTCGTGACTCCCAACAAATCAGATGGGTGGTGGGCGGAGATTGCTTTAGGCCACAGAGTGGTGAGTTCTGACAGGCTGCATCAGAGCCAAATAGCGAGTTTCAAAATTAAGTTATTTTATATACCGATAATCATAAAAATGCTTAATATCGGCCAGGCCGATAATCGGTCGACCCCTAGTGACGAGTGGGTCAGGGCCGAGAGCCGTGGTGCCACTCTCTCGTCCAACACTGTTGTCACTCCTTTTATCCTTCCGGAGCTCCTCCGTGGGACTCGAGACGCGCATTAGCAATTACTCCACCGGCCTCGCTCCGTTCCCACGGCTCTCGGCCCTGACCCACTCGTCACAGTGAAAAACTCCATCTCATTTTCTCCTCCATCTTCAAAATCATCTGACATCGCTGTTTTACCTTTTTTTTTTGTAAAGGGCGTTTGACTTTCTTTGCATGTTCACTTTGTAAACACTGGGTCGGTGCTTCCCCCTGCGCCACGCGTGACCTTTCCAACGAGGCTACGCAATCCGTGAAGTCAAGCTAGTGCAAGACGAGCATTTGTGGTTTAAAAAGTATATAAATGTTTATTTTTTTAGAAAATGACAGATGGTTTGGCTAGATAAGACCCTTATTCCTCAGCTGGTACCGTGTAGAGCCCTTTGAAGCTGCACTGAAACTGCGATTTGGACCTTCAGCCCGTTGGTCCCCATTGAAGTCCATTATATAGAGAAAAATCCTGGCATGTTTTCCTCAAAAACCTTAATTTCTTGAAGAAAGAATGGCATGAACATCTTGGAAGACATGGGGGTGAGTAAATTATCAGGAAATTTTTATTCTGGAAGTGAAGTTTCTTTAACTGAATTCGTAAATGCTGCACAATGGCAAGTGGCAATACTGGATAAATTATGGTAAGCTTATCAGAATTCTGAATGGATTATAGCCTAGAAAGCAGGCAAAGAACACTATATAAATAAAGGTGACTTGACACTTCTGATTGGCCATTGTGTTCGTGAAATTAACAGATATGTTTGTGATTGGCTACAATGCTCAACTCTGAAAAACATGTTGTAAATAGAAACCTATGATGACCAATGGTGAAAATGTGAAAAGCCCCGCAGGTTGACTGGATTGGTTACGTGTTTGGGAAATGGTAGGAAAGAGATGTTAATCAAATGCATAGATGGTAGGTGATTTCAAACTGCGTGTTTGAGGCTGTCTTTGGTACACTGCAGATTAGAAGAAAATGCTCCGCAATGGCGTTGACTGATGAATTAGGACATGGTTTGTCTTTAAACATATTAAAAACACCAAAAACGTAAACAATATTAAAACCTAGATTTTCACCACATTAGGGCTTTAATTTTTTTTTATCTGATTATGTAATCTGGATTACATGTAACTCAGCACTGAGTGTTTTATTTTTTATTAATTTATTTTACAAATATAAATTTTTCAACTGTATTTTTGTGACTATTTTCTTCTTCCACTTCCCCAGATGACGGGAGTGGCAGCCTGCAGGCGCGCTCGATTTCACATCGATCATTTTCCTCTAATCCATCATCCCGAGACTCCTCCCCCAACCGAGACCTCGCTCCGTTCCCACGGCTCTCGGCCCTGACCCACTCGTCACAGTGAAAAACTCCATCTCATTTTCTCCTCCATCTTCAAAATCATCTGACATCGCTGTTTTACCTTTTTTTTGTAAAGGGCGTTTGACTTTCTTTGCATGTTCACTTTGTAAACACTGGGTCGGTGCTTCCCCCTGCGCCACGCGTGACCTTTCCAACGAGGCTACGCAATCCGTGAAGTCAAGCTAGTGCAAGACGAGCATTTGTGGTTTAAAAAGTATATAAATGTTTATTTTTTTAGAAAATGACAGATGGTTTGGCTAGATAAGACCCTTATTCCTCAGCTGGTACCGTGTAGAGCCCTTTGAAGCTGCACTGAAACTGCGATTTGGACCTTCAGCCCGTTGGTCCCCATTGAAGTCCATTATATAGAGAAAAATCCTGGCATGTTTTCCTCAAAAACCTTAATTTCTTGAAGAAAGAATGGCATGAACATCTTGGAAGACATGGGGGTGAGTAAATTATCAGAATTTTTATTCTGGAAGTGAAGTTTCTTTAACTGAATTCGTAAATGCTGCACAATGGCAAGTGGCAATACTGGATAAATTATGGTAAGCTTATCAGAATTCTGAATGGATTATAGCCTAGAAAGCAGAACATCTTGGAAGACATGGGGGTGAGTAAATTATCAGGAAATTTTTATTCTGGAAGTGAAGTTTCTTTAACTGAATTCGTAAATGCTGCACAATGGCAAGTGGCAATACTGGATAAATTATGGTAAGCTTATCAGAATTCTGAATGGATTATAGCCTAGAAAGCGGGCAAAGAACACTATATAAATAAAGGTGACTTGACACTTCTGATTGGCCATTGTGTTCGTGAAATTAACAGATATGTTTGTGATTGGCTACAATGCTCAACTCTGAAAAACATGTTGTAAATAGAAACCTATGATGACCAATGGTGAAAATGTGAAAAGCCCCGCAGGTTGACTGGATTGGTTACGTGTTTGGGAAATGGTAGGAAAGAGATGTTAATCAAATGCATAGATGGTAGGTGATTTCAAACTGCGTGTTTGAGGCTGTCTTTGGTACACTGCAGATTAGAAGAAAATGCTCCGCAATGGCGTTGACTGATGAATTAGGACATGGTTTGTCTTTAAACATATTAAAAACACCAAAAACGTAAACAATATTAAAACCTAGATTTTCACCACATTAGGGCTTTAATTTTTTTTTATCTGATTATGTAATCTGGATTACATGTAACTCAGCACTGAGTGTTTTATTTTTTATTAATTTATCTGAATGGATTATAGCCTAGAAAGCAGGCAAAGAACACTATATAAATAAAGGTGACTTGACACTTCTGATTGGCCATTGTGTTCGTGAAATTAACAGATATGTTTGTGATTGGCTACAATGCTCAACTCTGAAAAACATGTTGTAAATAGAAACCTATGATGACCAATGGTGAAAATGTGAAAAGCCCCGCAGGTTGACTGGATTGGTTACGTGTTTGGGAAATGGTAGGAAAGAGATGTTAATCAAATGCATAGATGGTAGGTGATTTCAAACTGCGTGTTTGAGGCTGTCTTTGGTACACTGCAGATTAGAAGAAAATGCTCCGCAATGGCGTTGACTGATGAATTAGGACATGGTTTGTCTTTAAACATATTAAAAACACCAAAAACGTAAACAATATTAAAACCTAGATTTTCACCACATTAGGGCTTAAATTTTTTTTTTATCTGATTATGTAATCTGGATTACATGTAACTCAGCACTGAGTGTTTTATTTTTTATTAATTTTTTTTACAAATATAAATTTTTCAACTGTATTTTTGTGACTATTTTCTTCTTCCACTTCCCCAGATGACGGGAGTGGCAGCCTGCAGGCGCGCTCGATTTCACATCGATCATTTTCCTCTAATCCATCATCCCGAGACTCCTCCCCCAACCGAGACCTGTCACTCAGCATCAGCAGGCTCCGCCCCCCCATCATCATCCACAGCTCTGGGAAGAAATATGGCTTCACCCTGCAGACCATTCGAGTGTACATGGGGAACAGCGACATCTACACCATACACCACATGGTCTCGGTGAGCAGAGAATCACTCCTAACACACTCAGACATTGAGCTCTAAAGGTGCTTATCGGTCTGTTTATTCGGATTCTTCTTGCTCTTTCTGTCAGGGCGTGGAGGAGAGCAGCCCTGCCCATGAGGCTGGACTGCGAGCGGGTGATCTGATCACTCATGTGAATGGAGAGTCTGTGCAGGGTCTAGTGCACACAGAGATGATGGAGCTGCTTTTGAAGGTATTTGAACAGAAGCATGCTGGGATTCACTGAACCATTGTGTAATATTCTGAAGTAGACCAAAGACTAATCATCATTTTGAAGAATTTCACAAAAAACATTTTGAATCCCATAATTGAAGCCATACTTTAGTGATTTTTGTTGCCACACAGCCTCAAGTGGCTTATTAGTTTTATAAACATTTGGCAACAGAAAAATGATAATACACAGATGTAAAAAAATAAATGTACTATATATATATATACTATATATATAATTTTTTTTTTAGGGGTGTAACGGTTCAAATTACTCACGGTTCGGTTTGTGTCACATTGGTTTCAGTACAGTTCAGTATATGGTATGTTTAGGGGGAAAAAAGACTACACTGTCAAATAAAAATAAAGAAAATAAGAAACAATAATCGAACTCCCAAGCAACAGCACAAATAAATACAATAGAGCAAAGATATAAATAAAATAAACAGTGCTTTTCAGGTAGTTTAGGTAGGTCTAACATTAGTTTTTAGGTACAGAAATTGAATAAAGTAATCATGTTTCAAATCAATCAAATCTTTTTTTGTTCATCGCTGTTGTTGTATTGTATTGGGAAGCCAGAATGCGTATCCATCGACAGAAACATACATTAGCTTAACGCTCTGTTTTATGTGTTGTTATTTTTAACAAGCCATATTACAGATGTGTGGTCAGATTTAAGTTGAACCGCGGTGCAAGTGCGTGCCGAACTGTGGGTGGAGAACGGTATGGTTTTATTTTTTTTTTTTTTACCGTTACCCCTAAAGTACACACACACACATATATATATATATATATATATATATATATATATATA